TAGGGTGGGTGGTGTCACCCCCTCTTACAGAAACGGGAGTGGGGCACGGGGCCCAACCTGCCCCACAGGCCAAGCCAAGGCAGCCCCCGAGGCCGTGCGGCCCCTCAGGGTGGTGGGAGGCACTCTGTAGAATGCCCCGAATCCCAGGCTTGTGTCTCAGAGCCCCAATCCCCAAGAGAGGCTCAGCCCCAAACCCGAACCTTCAGGGCCCCGTGTCCTAACTGCCAGCACCCACCGTGGACTTATTGAACCCTGCTGCTTCATTTCAGGAAGAGGCAGGGTGAGGCTGGCCCACGCCGCTTAGCCCCTACGGCCAAGGGTCAGCCTCACCTGCCCCTGCCCCCAAGGCTCACCTGTGACCTCCTGTCCTTACAGGCACGGTTCCCTTCACGGCAGGAGAAGTCCTACCCGGGCTGGGTGCAGGCCACGTGCGTCCTCCTGTGCTTCCTGCCCTCGCTGTGGGTCCCAGCTGTGGCACTGGTCCAGCTGCTCGCCAAGCGCAGACGGAAGCAGGACCCCTGGCAGGACAGGTGCCTGAAGCTGCAGGACAGAGGGGCCAGCTGAGGGCCGGGCGGGGGGGGGCAGGGCAGGGACGACCAGCCTGTGTGCCACTTGCTCACAGAGAGCGGGACCCCATTACACACTTGGTCCAGACCCTGACCTGGAGCTGCTGCTTCCCAACGCCACTGCACTCCGCAGACCCTGCCCCTGGCACAGCCCAGCTCCGTCAGCACGGGGCACGCTGTCCCTCCAGACGGGAGAGAGCCTGGGGTCCAGCCCCCGGGGCCCTGCCCTCTGCGGCACAGCACGGAGCTGTCTGGGGCCCGGATGCTGCGCCCAGCTAGTCCATCTGTGGGCAGAAGGGCAGGCGGGCCCAGAGGCCCAGGGGCCGGCAGGGCAGCCTCCGAGGAGGCTCACATCCACGCCCGCTGCAGCTGGGGGCTGGCGTCACCAGAGCTAAGGGACTCTGAAGGGTGATCTCCAAGGGAAAGTGGAGGCTGTCCTCTCGGAGAGCCGGAAGGGAAGCCCCTTTCTGTGCTGAGAGCACTTGGGCATGGGCAGGCTCTGCTGGGACCTGTACTGACCCTCTCAGGCAGCAGGAGCCCGGGTCTGTGTCGAGGCCCAGGCCTGGGCAACCCCGTGTGTGGGAATCCTCACCGCACCTGCGGCCTGCCCACTCCCTCCCCGGGACGGGTACCCCCTGCGTGAGCACAGGCAGGGGCTGGGGCTTGGCCAGCATCACCACGCGCTGGCACTCTCCTGACCTCACTGCTGAGAAACACCACTCTTTGTTTTTTAAAAATTTTCTCAGAGACTCAAACGTGGGTCAAGAAGGTACAAAAAGGCTAATTCTCAGATTCCTACCATCTCCAAAGGAGGGCTGTCACTCACTCCACACCAAGCTCTCCCGCAGCCTCAGTGGAGGGGTGCCTCCTCACCCAGCTCCACCTGCCCTCCTGCGCACCCCTCCCTCCCCACTCCTCCATCCGTCCATCCATCCATCTCCTCCCTCCCTCTCCCTCCCCCCCACCATCCAACCATTTCCTCCCTCTCTGCCTCCTCCCTCCCTCCCTCCATCCACCATCTCCTCCCTGCCCCCCTCCATCCTCTCTCCCTCCTCCGTGAACCAGGGGTCAGGTCTAGGGTGTGGGCCCCGACACACAGGCTTGCTTCTGACTTGCCACTGGAGCCCGCGTATGCCCTTCATGCTGCTGGGATCAGACCCTGTGAAGACCCAGCGCCCACTAATCCCCAGCGAGACAGACGCTGTCCAGGGTGCTGAAAAACCCCCAGAGGAGCCCGGTCCCAGCGTGCCTGGTGGGGCTGTCCTGGTCACAGGCAGCCCAGACCCCAGGAAACAGAAGCGCCTGCACTACTGTGTGCTAAGAGGAGCTGAGTATTAAAACGGAGTTAGCCCAAGAGCGCCCCCGAAGTGTGCCCCAAGCCCCATGGGCAGGGTGGGTTCTGCACTTCAGCCCCATGCTCCGACACCCTTGGCTCGTGGCCCCTTCCTCCACTGAAAAGCCAGCAAGGCCAGTGAGTCGTTCTCACCCGTGTCTCTCCGACACCCTCTCTTCACCCTGTGATGACCCTGGGTGCACCTGGATAATTCAGGATGACCTCCCCATCGCGAGGTCAACTGACTAGCTACCTAATCCCACCTGGACCTATAATTCCCCTTGGCCATGTCAAGTAGTACTCCCAGGTTCTGGGATCAGGACGTGGGTGCCTTTGGGGGGGTCATTATTCCACCTCTCACAGAGCCCTGGCAATTCTGAGCCCACCCAGGTTTGGCAAGCCCTTTAGTGTGAGCACCCGTGTGTCCAGGTGCAAGCACACGCCTGGGGGATGGCAGGTGGGGGAGGGGCAGGAACTGGGGCTGGGCGGCGGGGCGTAATCGCTCAGCACTTTGGGAGGTCCAGGGGGCACCATCTGTGCCTCCTCTTAAACCACTCATCTTGAGCTCCACCCGCTGCCTACACTTCCGCAGAACACATCAGTAAATGAGCTTTCTAACGTGCAGCTTAGATCAAGGAAAAACCGGAAAACTAGGTGTTTTCCTTTGCTTTAAAAATCTTATTTTCACGTTTCACCTGGAGGAGGTTTGGCCGTGCACATACTGGTTTTAAGGAGATGAACCAGAGTTTTCAGTGAGTTGAGCCTGACCAAGCACCCCGTCTTTTCAACGGTTTAACACTTCAGTAAGAATACGTGATCCTGAGTATAATGCCGACAGAATGCCTCTACCAGAGAAGCAAGACTCTGGAGCTCTTGGAGGACAGATGGCTGAGCGGCTGACCTCTAGGGTCTGGTCTGTGATGGAAATGCCAGGAATGGGCCCGTGGGCATGTGAGCAGGCGGGGGCCAGTGGCGGGTCAGCTCGGGCGCCTGGTGTGGGGTCCCGGCGGTGTCCCCGCGGTTCTGTCGGCCCCAGCAGGGCAGGTCAGTCCTCCCTCTGGTTATGACAGCGCGGGCACCGCTGCAGCCGGGCTGGCATGTGGGTTGGGCGGGGCCCAGTTCTGCACTGCTCAGCTCGGGTGCCTTTATGGCCCGCTCCGTGGACTTGGGTCTGCCATAAACGTGTCAGCTCAGTCCCTGGGACATTGTGCACAGCAGCAGTAAACAAGGCAATATCCATAAACCCTGACAGGAGATGCACTTGCGCCCTGAAAATTTGGGCTGCATTAGCACCACCCCCATCCAAGGCACACTGGATGGCATCCCGCCACACGTCATGTGGCCCCATCAGAGACATCCCGGAAGGAAGCCTTCCCGCTATCACAGGGGACAGGGCAGACGGCCAGCTCCCTGACGGGGCCCTTTCTTCACAGGCTACGCCCCCCTTGGGCTGCTCCCCTCCTGCTCTTTGTGCATCCTTCCAGGTCTTCCCATCTGCTCAAGGACGTCTGTCCAGCACGCTGCATGGCCCCCCCATGCACACCGCAGCCCCGGCTGGTGGTCTGGATGGGTATGCGAGTGTCCCCCGCACATGGGCTCATCCTCAACCATGACCAAGCCAGGGCAGAGCTCGGCCTGTCATCCTGACAAAGCCTGCAGCTGCATGCACAACACATTCTGTCCGGGGCACCTCAAAGGGGCTATTAGGTGAGGCTCTGGCCAGGGAGGCCAAGGGCCCTAAGCGGGCCTCTTGACCCTCCACGAACTTTGGCCACTTCCCTGGTGGCCGTCCCCCACAACCTTGTCCTCTACCCACCTCCAAGCTCCTAACCCTGACCTTGGAGCCACCACTGTCTGCTGCGTCCCTGGGGCCGCTGCTCAGGACAGCCCATCCTCCCTGCGGGGGGAGGGTTCTCAGCGTGGGGTCCCCCACCCCACCAGCAGCACCTGGAACTTCCTAGAAGCGCGAATCCCAGGCCCTTCCCCAGATTTGCTGAAGCAGAAGTCTGTTGGCGGGGGGGACACCTTTGCAGTTCAAGCCCCCAAGACAGCTTAGGCTGACATCTGCCATCTCATCTCCCAGGTCACCCGTGAGCCCCCTGCTTCTCCCAAAAAGTTGTCGGGGCCACCCTTCTGCTGCCCAATCAGGCTGACCCCCTCTTGCCACAACCTGTGGGGCCTCAGTCCCCGAGATCCTCAATCTAGCCCCCGCCAGAGCCGCGACCTGTGACCCTGAGTACCACACCCAAACCTGGCCCTTGCTGCGGCCTCTGCTGTCCCCCAGCCTGGGGGGCTCCCAGGTGCGAGAGCAGGATCCCCGCCGGCTGCCCCGCTCAAGCAGCTCCGCCTGCAGAGCCCATCCCCACACCTGCTCCAGGCCCAAGTGCTGCTGCTGAGGCATGTGCTCGCCATGAGCACGGCGCCGGAGTTCAGCTAAACAGGAATGAAGCAACCCTACCGTGGTCAGGATTCAGCATGGGGGAGGGGCGGGGCCATCCCTGGGAGTCCCCAGGCGATGGAGGGGACAGATGGGTGCAGGTGGGCAGGCACATCCACCTGCCCAGATCCAGAACACAGAAGCAGGAGACCAGCAGCCCGGGGCGGGGGGGGGGGGGGTGGGCAGGGCTGGACGTGGGGCAGCGAGCTACCACCTACCTCCCAAACCCCTGTATCATGCCCCCACTGCCCACTCCAAGGAACTCTCCAGAAGGAGATCACCTGGACACTGTGAAGCCAGAGAAATGTGCTTAGGAGGGAATCCAGTGTTCTGGGCCTCAGGCCCTTGCTGTCCACACCTTTCCAGGGTCCACAGTAGGGCCAGAGTTAGCTGTAGACAGGGTGGGTGCTGGGCAGGGCCTTCTGGCCCACTGCCCAGCTGCACCTGCCCTGGGGGGGGGTGCCCTTTCCCAATTCCCCCTCCCGCCCTCACATCCCTGCCCCAGGAAGACCCCTGGGATCCCCCCCAGGCCAAGGACCCCGCACATCACGTGTGGACACAGGCGCGGGTGTAATTATGGAAAATGGTATGCATGCCTCACGCAGGATGCGTTTTAATACAAACATGGAAAATGGAAGCCTCTAAGAGCAAAGGCTTGGCATGTTCCTTCCATGGCTCCCCAGGAGTTACCGGGGGCAGCAGGTCCAGTGGGGGAGGCCACGCAGAGGAGTGCCACCAGGATGACCCAGGGCCACTGTGTGCAGAGCAGGGACCAGCGGGGAAGAGTCAGAAGTGGGGGTGGCGGCAGGTGGGGTGGGCCAGACACTCAGGCTCCAGGAGGCCAGAGCGGGGTGTGGGGGGCACAGGGCGAGGTCCCAAGGATGGGTGGGGATGGGTCTAGAACAGCTGACTGGACCTCAGCTTCTGGGGAAAGCTCAATGGGACACAGACTTTGGACGCGGCGCGGGGACGGCCAGGGGCGGGCGGGGACAGTGCAGGCCTGGGCAGGTAGCGGGGAAAGAGCCACACCCACTACCGAGCACGCTCAGGGACGTGTGCAGACTGGGGCAGTCCCCAGCGGGGGTGACAAAGGTCCAGACAGACTGGACACGCCAGCCCGGTGCTCCTGCCTGCCCCCTCCTGGCGGCCAGTGGCTGAAGGACACAACCCCGATCACAAGAGGGTGCTGGGTGGGCTCTCCTCCCCGAGGACATGGGGGCCGACCTCTGCTGGGGGCGCCGGCCAGCAGCTCAAGTCTCAGGGTCTCAGGGGAGAAAGGGCTGAGACCTGAAGGTGAGCCAGCCCGTCCCACCGCGTGAAGGCACATGGACTGGGGCTCAGGGGCCCTGGAGGCCACTCTGGGCTGGGAGGGCCAGTCGTCAGTCCAAAATGGTCTTGAAGTCTGCGGTCAGGCCGGGGTCAGCCGCGGCCTCCAGGGCGGCCAGCGTCACCCTCGGGAGCTGCCGGCACAGGTGTGCTTTGGCTGTAAGAGGACGAGTGACATCAGAATGCCCGGGACGAAGCCAACCTTCACCACGGCCTCGGGACTCCGCTGAGGGCCAGGCAGGCGAGGTCTATGCGCTGAGCGCCTGCCCGCAGGCCAGGCTCCGGGTGCCTGGTGCGGCGGGCAGGAGGGACTTGCTGCTGGGGGTCCCTCTGCCCGTGTAGGGGCTGCCAGGGCAGAGGCCTGGGGACTTGGGTTGGGGGTGTAGAGGACACCCAGGCTAGCGGGGTGGAGGGAGCGGGGCCTTGGCCTCTCCCCACAGACAGGAGGTGAGGTGTGCAGAGGTAGAGTGACCGGGCGGGCGTGCCAGGCTCTGGGCTGAGAGAGCCCGCGACCCCAGGGCACCTGCACCCCATCCCTTGGAGGCTCCTGGACCCACCCACCGCCATTCAGACACGGGGGAGCCCAGACACTGCTCAGGCACGCACACGGCAGGACGGGGCCCTGCACCTGCACAAAGGGGTGCTCACACTTACCTGCCCGGAGAGCCCCCAGAAGACACCTGTAGGTGCCCCCGTGACGGGCCAGCTTGAGCAGGAAGGCGTGGAAGCACAGCCACCGTGCGGCCTCAGAAGGAAACGGGCCGGAGGCGCCCTCGGCCCCCAGAGACATCCCTGGGGGGACACAAGGACAGGCTAAGGCCCCGCCCAGAAAGACCACATGCTCCGATGTGCCCGATGCTGCCTGGGGTCCCTGCCCCGCCCCCCACGAGCCCAGGAGCAGGGGCCGAGGCCGGGGGGCAGACGGGCAATTTTGTTTCAAGGTCAGCCCCAACACAGGCTTGGGGATCCCTGACGGCTGGCGCTTTGTTCCCCTTCTCAGAAGCAACTCCCACAAAACGGAAGTAACCAGGATCCTAGGGACACAACATGGCCTGAGCTGCAGACCGGCCAGGTGCTTGCGGGATGGAGCTGTGGGGAGCGGGGACGGGGACACCCGGGGGGAAGGCCGGGCTGCGGACGGGCGTGGGGCACAGCCCCCTCCCCACTGCTGGCCTGCATTTGTGCACGAGGCCGAGGGCCCCGAGGGGAGGGGCGCCAACATGCCCAAGCCTGACAGGGGAGCTCCCCGAGCGCACGGCCGAGCTGTGTTGGAAGCGTGCAGGGGAGCATCCCGCGCATTCGCTGCACTACAGGGGACCCCTCAAAACCCCCCTGCCGTGCCCAGGTTCCCACCCACGCACACCTGTGTTCCTGGCTTTCAGGTGGGAGTAGCAGTGTGACGCGGTGTCCGAGATGACACGGAGGAAGAAGGAGGGGTTCTTCCTCACTGGCTGGTTGAACGGGAACTGGAGCACACACGCGTGGAACCTGGCGAAGGGATGCTTTGTGAGAGGAGAGTCCTCTGGCTGGGACGTGTGCACGCGCGTGTGTGTGCACGCATGTGTGTGTGTGCACGTGTCCCTGTGTGTGTGCATGTTCGCGTGTGCACGTGTCCCCATGTGTCTTTGCACACATGTGTCTGTGTGTGCACATGTCCCTGTGTGCATGTTCACGTGTGCATGTGTCCCCATGTGTGTGTGCACGCATGTGTCTGTGTGTGCACGTCCCTGTGTGCATGTTCGCGTGTGCACGTGTCCCCATGTGTCTCTGTGTGCACACGTGTCTGTGTGTGCACGTCCCTGTGTGCATGTTCGCGTGTGCACATGTCCCCATGTGTGTATGTGCATGCATGTGTCTCTGTGTGTGCATGTTCGCGTGTGCACGTGTCCCCATGTGTCTCTGTGTGCACACGTGTCTGTGTGTGCACGTCCCTGTGTGTGCATGTTCGCGTGTGCACGTGTCCCCATGTGTGTATGTGCATGCATGTATCTGTGTGTGCACATCCCTGTGTGTGTGCATGTTCACGTGTGCACGTGTCCCCATGTGTCTGTGTGCATGCATGTGAGTGCATGTGCACACGTGGCGCGTTCATTGTCCACACGCGTGTGCACACGTGTCCCTATGTGACCGCATGTGCACGGGACCGCACGACAAGCCCCTCCCCAGGTACCTCGTGCCCCTGGCCTCACCAACCACCCGCGCCCCTTCTGGAGTAATGTGCCCGTGTGTCACCCTGCCAGCAACCTGCCTTCACACGCACAATAACCCTACTGAGGCGGGAAATACTCTCCCACCTGTGGAGACCAGAGCCAGGTTTGGAAACAGCGCACGCACCACTCCAGGTCACACAGACTCGCCCAGGCCCTACACGGATGCCTGGCCCCTTGTCCGCCCCACGGCTCACGTGTCCATCTGTCCTGACTGTGGCTGCAAGTTAGCAGCTCCCCTGAGTGGCCAGGGGCAGGTCTCCCTTGTGAACCAGGGCAAAGCCCGGCTTTGTGTCCCCGAGGCCAGGGCAGCCACCGTGACCCCGCGGCCAACACGGCCCGAGGTGGAAGGGACCCCTCCCCCAAGAGCTGTAGGAAGGGACAAGCACCAGAGGGCCCCACGGCTGCCCACCACGCCCATCCTCAGCAGGGCGACCCGGAGCCATCCAGGGGCTGAGAACGTTCCAGAAGCACACAGGGCCTCAGACGTTCCCATTAGTGGGGAGGGAATGGCCGCTGGGCTGTTTGGGGGCCACATCCCACCACCCCTTTCTGGGGGACATCAGAGGGCCACGACCCTCACCTGTACCCGCCTGATCCTCTGCTCTCGGGGACCCAAGCCCTGTGGTGTCTGCCTTCCACCCCGACACGCGGGCTGCCCGCACCTGCCTCGTGTCCCCGGCCCCTGCGAGGTCCCGGGTCAGTGCTCAGGAGTGGGGACACCCCAGGCCACGCTGGCCACCCACCGCTGCCTGGTGACAAGACGGACACCCCCGTCCACGCGAGGTGGACGTACGCACACACACACGAAGCTGCAGCGTCCGCGGCTGAAAACTTGGCAAATACCTCATCCTCATAAGCTGGGACACAGGAGGGCAGGGCGCTCTCCCAGGCCGAGGGAGGGCTGGGGACACGGTGGGCCCGTGGCCTGTGGCCGTGTGGCCGGGGAACCCACCTGTAGGCCTGCAGCAGGAATATCTTGTAAACGTTTGTATAAACCGTGTGGACGCTGTTCACCTGGGTCACAAAGAAAGAGAAACGCTGCAAATACATCTGGAATTTAGACTTCTGTCTTACTTCATCACCAGGTCAAAGGGAGGCAGAAGGCAGCGGCCCTGGGTGGTGGCGGCAGGGGCTGCCGGTGGGAAGGACAGGCAGGGAGGGGCGAGGAGGTGGGCGCCAAGCAGCTCCAGGGCTGAGCCCCAGCGCCTCGGACCCCACCGTGGGGAGGCACCCGGCGCCCGGAACGAGGGGCTCAGGCGGGGGTGAGGGCATCGCACCCGTGCACATGCTTACACACGCATGCACACACGTGCACGCACACACACACCTGTATGCTTGGTGCACGCGTGCCGTAAACCACACAGGCCGCGCGGGTGCGAGTTGGCCGGCCGTGCGCTCACCTGCAGATCCAGAAACAAAGCGCAGCACTTCAGCCGCAAGACCGCAAACAGCTTGCGCCGCATGTTCCTCCCGGGCTTGGCACCCTGGCTGAAGGTGAGGCTCGAGCGGATGGAGGTCTGGGCGTAGCTGCGGGACAGAGCAGGAGGCCCTGAGCTGCGAGTCCTCCTGGCGGCAGCCAGCCTGCCTGCCCGCCCACGCTGTCAAATCTGCACCCTGATCACACCTCACAGGCGTGCGTCCGCCCACGCCTGGGCCACAGGCGGCGGGAGCAGAGAGCACGGGGGACTCAGACGGGGTGCGGCCCTCACGCACCACACACATCTGGGTCAGTCTGGGTCACGTACGTGTTCATTTGTGAGTGACAAACAGCACAGAGCACCAATAAAATCTACGGGATTCAACCAAATGCGCTGATCACACGGCCAACACACGCCTGACTGGGTGCCTTCCTGGGAGAGGGTCCGAGCTGGGTGGGGTCTCCTCAGGCTCGGCGGGGCAGCTCTGGCCACACGGGGCCTTGAGGCCACAGCCCGGAGGGCTTCTCGCAGGAGGAGGCCGCCCCACCCACAGCCTGACCCTGTGGACGAGGCTGACATGGTCTCAAGGTGGGAAACACGTAAGACACGGGAAGTGGGAGGAGAGTCGCCCGCTCAGCACCAGCAACACCAGTGGGCGCCCCAACCACGCCGCATCCCTGCACCTACGCACCCGAAATGCCCCCGTGACCCATGTAGTCTGTGGCTGGGGAGGTATTCCTCAGCACCAGCTTCAAACACGCTAACCTCGAAAGCAACTTTTCATCTCATTGAGTGTTTTTTGACAGCAATTTCAAGGGCAGAATACAGTTTCTTCCGGGGGAGGCGTGACATCCACCCGGCCGCAGAGGTGGGTTTCGTTAGCTGCCCAAACAGTCAAGCAAAATCTCTGATGATGTCCGTGATTTTTGTTCCTTGAGGACAGATTTTTGGAAGTGCAGTTACTGGGAAAATGTATGAATGTTTCAAGAACTTTAATACAAATTTGCTGCTTTCCAGAGAAGTCGCTGCGTTTGCCTAGCCCTCAGAAACGTGCCCACGTGCCCGGGCCTGACGGGAGCGTGGGCGCCTGGGACGGGGGCTTCTCTGGCCGGTGGGCAGAGCCTGGCGGAATCCCCTCCACACGCTGCCCCCTCTCCTCCCTGGCGGCATCCACCGCAGCATCACTACAAGCCTCCGTGTCCAACCTCTGCAGAGCTCAGTGCACGGAAACGAGGCCCTGGAGCCAGGCCCGGGTTTGAATCCTGCGTCCCATGCAGCTGGGTGACCGGGGGCAGGTCCCTCGTCTGCGCCGAAAGGACACATCTGAGAAGTGGCAGCGGGCCCCACCTACCGGGCTTGGCGAGGCCACTCGTGCTTAGAGACACGGCTACCGTCTGCCCGCAGGCTTCAGGCTCCTAGGTGCTCAGAGCCGCCCGCTGCTTCCTTTCCGGGCTGCCAGTCCTGCTCACTCCTCCCCTGCGCCAGGTCAGAGGACTTTCATCCACCTGTTTTCTGAGTCCTCCTGCTCTGTCCCTGCTGTTTTGTTCCCGAGCACGCCCAGAACTCGCTCCTGGGTGCGCCGTGATGCAAAGCTTGAGGTGCGCTGGCTGCTCCTAGTTGGTTTTCTCAACCAGGCGTCCTCCCCTCACTCCCACCCACGCAGCACGGCAAACTCGCTCATGCTCGCGAGGGCGGCCCCGGCACTCTGGCCGTCTTGCCTGAGCTGGGGTTTGGGGAGGACTCGGAAGTCCGCAAGACAAGCCCGCCTCGCCACTGTCCTTTCCAGGACGGTTCTCCTGCCCCTCGTGTCTCCTCCCCCTCGTGCTCACTCCTCCCCCTGCACAGGACACCTTGCGGGGTTCCAGGTGCCTCTGCCTCCGCAGCTGAGCCCTAGGGCTGCACCCATGAACAGGCTCGTGCTGAGAGGTCCTGTGGAAGCATGGCTGCCCACGCGCTCTCGGGCATTGTCATCACCCGGCCAGAGTCACCTGGAATGGCGGTCCCTGTCCCCCAAACGGCCATAGCTTCTTGGGGAGCAGACGGTGGTGGGTGGGCCGTTCATGACCAACAGGTGTGGTCGGGGCCGGACGGCAAGGGAGGGCTGGAAGCTGGGGAGTCAGAGTCGAGTCCCAAGGATGAGACCAACCAAAGATGGGGGTGGTGGGTGGCAGGGGCAGGAAAGGGGCCTGGGCTTCGCACGCGGAAGCACAGACGTGGATCCATATGGGGAGGTGGGGGCAGCAAAGTGGGCTGGGAGAGCGGAAAGCGCACCATGGAAATAAACTGGGAGCGTTCAAGCCAGGACAGTGGAGTCCCCGACTAGCGAAGGGAAGACCCACCCTCCAGCACGGCTGTGGAATCAGTATTTCGTGTTCATACAAGAGCAGGTTCCTGCATCCACGTCTGTCCTGAGCTGTGTCTGGGCCAAGCCCGAGGTTGGGCTGGGGGCTCTCAGGCTCAGGGGAAACTGGCCATGAGGGGCTGCACTGAGTCCCCAAGTCCACATGTTACAGCCCTAACCCACGTGACTGTGTGTGGGGACAGGGTCTGTAAGAAGCAATTAAGACTAAGGTCATAGTGGGCCCTGACCCAACAGCACTGATGTCCTTGGAGGAAGAGAGACGGCAGACATGCCTGAACGCAGAAGGACGTGAGGACACAGGGAGACCACGATGAACACCACGAGGAGAACCAACCCTACCCGCAGGTGGATCTCGGACTCACAGCCTCCACGAAGTGAGAACAGAAAGTCCGGAGAGCCGTTGGTCTGCGGTATTCTTCGCACAGCCCAAGCTCACCAGGACAGGGTCCCACGTACCGCATCCACGGCAGGCGCCGTGCACCACAGCCCTGCTCCCCAGGGAGGCCACAGTGTGCGATTCGGGGTTGCCCCCGTCCTAAGGAGCTTGTGTCCAGCAGGTCCCCAAACCTCGGACCTCAGATCTACACAGCGTCCCTGCAGAACACACCAGTGACCCCCCAAATCTCCGGCACAATTTCCTCTTACCAAAAAAGCCCAGAAAACTGCTCGCCTAGTGAGTGCGCTCAATCCCAAGGAGGATGTGTTGCCGCCCCCGTCTGGACTGGACGCTGGGCACCCCTGACCTGTGACCCACCCATCACACGCGGAGACGGGAACATCCACTCACGGGCGCACTCACCTGGAGTAGTCGCAGGACACCTCCAGGGTCCGGGTGTCCAGCAGCAAGCCACACCACGGGAACAGGGAGTGGGCCGGCAGCTGCAGGGGGGCCGCGCTGCCCGGGGCAATGTCCTCCACGGGGAAGTTCACTGCTGTCTTCTGCAAGTTGGCCGTGCAGCCGTACTCAGGAACCCCCCTGACCAGCGTCCTGAAGCAGAGAGACCAAGTCAGCCACCGGGAGGAGAGGGGGACGCCGCCGGGGGCTCATTCAGTGCCACGGCCACGGGCGCTGAGCCGGAGCCACGGGCACAGCGGCGGGTGTGGGTGCTGCCCAGGGGACTAGGCTGCCTCCCCAGAGGCCCCTTGGAAGTTGGGGCACGCGCTGCAGTGGGGGATGGCAGACGGGGCCGCGCTGCACACGCGGGAACAGAAATGAGGCCGCGAGCGAGGTCGTGAGGCTCCCCTCTCTTCCCGTAGGCCATGTGGGAGGGACGTCTGCCTGGACTTGCTAGAGGGTGGTGCTACGGGCCTGGGGGCCACATGGGGGTTGGTTATTTTGCCAGAATTAAATTGGGCACGTGGGGTCCTCAGCGCCATCCCTCTCAGGCCCCAGGAGTCTTCCTTTCAAGTGTGCTTTTCCAGGGAAGGAGAAAGTCATAAACCGAGGGGTGTTTGCTCTAGTTGCTGGCTGTCCTTGGACAAACCCGTCGCCCCGAGCCTGCCCGCGGGGGAGTCCCAGAGCTCAGAGGGACCGAGAGTCCTGTGGGTGTGCCCTAGGGCCACTGTCCACACAGCAGCCCGCATAGGACGCCCTTAAATGTAAATTCATCTCGCGAGGGGGGAAATGTTACCCCGCGGCGAGTCAGGTCAGCTGCTCATGGGCATCAGGAGTGCCGTGGAGACGCGCGCGTGGGGGCCTCACCTGAGAAAGGCCTGCGCTTGCGTCAGGTGAGGCGTGACCAGCAGGAAGTCGTCCACCAGACGCAGGAGCACCCTACAAGGGGACAGATGCGCCGGGTGCTGCAGCAAAAGGGCCCGAACGTCCAAGAACCTTAAATATCCTAGTTCACAAGGACAAGGATAAAGTAACTTTCTGCAAAGAATCTAGACAAAGGCTTACACGCCTCATGGGACGTGGCTGCAGCCGGGGACGCACGGGCGGGGGTGCAGCCGTGGGTCCGAAGCCCATGGAAACGCGCTCAGGCCCTGGTCATGCTAGCTGCCGCTTCTACACCTACACTCAAGACCCGCTCACTACCTCCCACGTGACCTGACACAAAGCCACGAGTATGGCCCGTCCACACACCGAGGACCCGAGATGCAAGGTGGGGCACAAGCTAGTCCACACACACACCCCCCATGAGGGATCCATACCCGTCCTGCTGGATTCCAGGAAACAACCTGCTCTCCATGTCCCCATAGCACAGACTGCACAGCAGCGTGGACAGGATGGAGCCCTGAGGGATCCCCTGGCACTGGACGTATGACCTGGGGGGTAGGACACGGGTAGAAGCAGGCCCCGGCAGATCTCGCGTTACAGACACACGTGCGTGCAGACCACGCACACGGACCACGCATGCATGGAGACATACCACACACAGACCATGCACATAGACTACACACGCATGGAGACCACGCATGCACACCACGCATGCATGGACCCATTTTTATAAAGGTCACGCAGACCACACACACACACGTAGACCACATGCACAGACCACGCATGCATGGAGACACACTGCACGCAGACCACACAGACATGCAGACCACACAAGCATGGAGACACACCGCACACAGACCACATACACAGACCACGCACAGACCATGCATGCATGGAGACACACCACACACAGACCACACATGCAGACCACAGACACACACACAGACCATGTACAGACCACACACACATGGAGACACACTGCACGCAGACCACAGACACACAGACCACATACACAGACCACGCACAGACCATGCATGCATGGAGACACACCACACGCAGACCACACATGCAGACCACAGACACACACACAGACCACATACACAGACACAGATACATGCTGATCATGCACACAGACCACAGACACAAACGCAGACCACATACACAGACCACACACAGACCATGCATGCATGGAGACACACCGCATGCAGACCACGCACATAGACCACACACGCATGGAGACCACGCATGCACACCACGCATGCATGGAGACACACTGCACGCAGACCACACACACAGACCACAGACCACATGCAGGTGCACCCACGCCACACACACGGGAGAGTCCGTGAACCGAGGTTTGTCTTGTGCTCCCGTGAAGCCCTGCCAGGTGTCAGTTTACACATGCGACTGTCCACATGGGCCTGACCCATTTTTATAAAGGTCACAGCAGGCAGAGAAGTGGGTGATGCCTCTCTGGGGGAGGCGTGGGGGTCACAGGTGTGGCCTTTTCCATGCAGGAAGTTCTCTTTTGACATGGGCGCCACTGAGAGGCATGGCGCCTTGGTGCAGACTCAGCCACTGTGCACTCATCAGGAGCGTTGTTCGGGATGCAGACATCATTTTATATTTGGAATAGAACTACATTTAATGAGTGCTGTAATTCTTTATAACACAATAATAACAATACATCGTTTAATTAAAAAACTTCTTGATTCCTAGAGCATAGGGAGTGATCCCAGGGAAGGCGCCCACATTCCAAGCTGACTTCTAACGACCTTGGCTGTGAGCCTGAACCCCCAGGACCACCGCTCTCATCAGACACCCACTGGGGTCCTCATGCAGGGGCTCACCCAGAGAAGTCCGGTTTTGTGTGTATAAACAAAAAAATCATCTGTCGGCATTTAAATGCCAAAGGACTTCCTGAACCCTGGGAGCCGAGTGGCCGCAGGGCCTGCAGAGGGTCTGGAGGTGACGACAGGAAGGTGCCAAGGACCCCGACTCACTTGCCCCCGATCCTTATGACGTGGTTGTGCACCAGGCGCAGGAAGAGGTGGAAAAGGCCGCTGCTGGTTTCGTTCAGAGAGGAGCTCTGGAAGAGCAAACGGAGGTGTGGGCGGGCGGGGGAGCCACTCTGATGCCGTGCTGGGCGGTCCGCGGCTCTGGCCGGGCTTGAGCCTGTGGACGCCGGCCCAGACAGCAGTGCCAGTGTGTCCCGCAGCAGCTGGTGGCAAGCCGGCAGCTGGAGAACACGGGTCTGCACGTCTCAGAGCCTCAGTGGGTGGACCGGCTTGTCCCTAGATCTGGGTCTGCAAGAGGCCACAGAACCGTGGGGGACTGACCCATCACCGAGGGCCCTGCACTCAGAAACGGCCCCCACTTACATGCAAGAAAAATGGGTTTCCCACTAGATGGTCGTCCCAGCTGGGGATACAGGGCAAATCCAACTTGTCCTCCTAAAGGGAGGGGGCGTGTTTTCTTTGGGCCTCACTATCAAAACCGAGGGAGAGGACGTCTCTAGCAAATCACGAGGACGCAGCCGGATTGCAGCAGGGAATCTGGCGGCGTGGTTCGCGAAGAGGCTGCACCCGGGCCCCTCCAGCCAGACGGTGACCGCCGCCCGCGTGCTCGCCCCTCCCCGGCGGTGAGCCACGTGCCTGATCCCCACCTGCTCGATGACCACGGCGTCCCTCAGTGAGCTTGTCTCTTGCAGACGCTCCACAAACTGTCTCATGTACGGCGGGAGGTCTGCGAAGGTGGACACCTGCTGGCACAGAGAAGGGGGTGACAGGCGCGCAGCCCAGGCCCGGCGAGCAGAAGTCACGTCGCGGGAGACCTTGTCCGCATCTGGAACGAGCAGGTGCCGTCCGGGAATGGGAGGGTATGGCACTGGGAGCAGGTCAGGACCACAGCGCACAGGAACCGTCCACCTGGTCACTCCCCTGACAACGGATGACATCTGAGGAAAGCCACTGGGGGTCCCAGGCTTTGGGGGGGGCCCGCCTTCCCGAGACCCCTCCCTGAGGCCTGTCCATCCACCGTGGGAGATGGAGCCCGAGCAGAAGGCAGTGGGGGTCACGGCCACCCAAGCAGCCAGGATGGAGGGGCTGGTCTGGGGAGGAGGGGACAGCAGAGAAATGAGCCCAAACTGCAACCTCTTCCCTAGTCCCACCAACTCTGAGCATCAGGTGCTGCAGGGGGTTGCTGGGCGCTGCTGCAGAGGCCGTGAGGGGGGCTCTCAGGGGAACGTGGGGGGTGGGGGGGCAGTGGTCTAATACCAGCCCTGTCTGATCAAAGTGATCTACCGCTCCCACCGTCAGGGGAGAGATTCTCCCGTGGAGAAAGCCAGTATCAAACAAAACCTTTGCTTTAAAATTTTTCTTCAGAAGACTGGCATCTCATGGAAACGAACGGGGGGGTGGGAGGGTCACCACAAGTGAAACAACAGCAGACAAGGCTGCTACTGAGTTGCCAGGATTTAAAAATCAACAAAGAAAAAACAATAAACAACATAGTAAAACAAAGAAAAAGAAGGAAAAATGAACCAGAGGCTGGAGTCTGAGAAAATTCACATGGGATTCGAGAACTGAAGAGCAGGCTCGGTGAGCTGAAGAATCCAAGAAACGGCTTTAACAGCTGGTCAGACGAGAACGCGAGTGTGGCCGGAGTCAGTGTGCAGAACAGACGCAGAGAGAAACCAAGACCGTGAACAAGCTGCCACACTAGGTCCCAGAAATAAGCTCCGCGGACAGAGCCCGAGCGCAGGGGCTGTTCTCACGGAAACGCAGAACGGTGTCGCCACGGCAGGGGACAGACAGCGTCGCAGCTGGACGGACACCGTCAGGCCCGAACCCCTGCCTAACTGGCTCCATTAAAGTGAAAAACTTCTGTTCATCGATAGACCCCGTTTGTGACCAAAAAGGCACAGACAGGCCGAGAAGGGGTTTGCGGTGCGTCCCTCGGACCAAGGACTGGCACCAGACACGTGAAGATCCCTGAGAAATCCGTGACAAACGGCACGTGGCTCATCACAAGCGGGGAGCTGACCTCAAGGGGCACCTCACAAGTGGCCACTTTGTGCAGGGCGCTCAGCGTGCACGCGTCGCAGGGACACTGGGCCCCGGAGCAGTGCCGCGCCTGGGACGCTGTGGGCGCGAGCTCGGCCGGGCCCTGCGGCGGAGCACACGTGGCAGCGTGGGCGGGCACTGTCCCCCAACACGAACGGCCCCCCCAGCAACACCCCCAACAGAAACGAGAGCTCTCGGCTCACGGATGGCCCGTCAGGCGAATGCCCGCCCAGCAGAAAGCAGAGCCCTGCTGGGCAGCGCTGCTGCCACAGAACTCCGACCACGACAAGGAGAGCTAAGAGCTGCTACCCGCCGCCTGGCTGCGTCTCAGACTTGCGGGGGAGCAGGGGAAACCAGACAGGAAGGGCACGTTCTGCCCGATGTCACGTTTGTGGAATTCGAGACAGGTACCTGGGTCCGCATGACCGACGTCAGAGCTGGGGACACCCCGGAGAGGGGCAGAGGGGTCTCGTGGGCACCTGTGATTTTCTACATCTCAACCCCGGTGGTGGCTGCCGTCTGTGTCCACACGGGCAAAACTGCATTTCGCTGCAGACTCAGGATTTGCAAGCCACACTCATCTGAGCCTCGCCCCAGAGGTGGTCACGTGGGCTCTCCTGAGAACTGGGTCGGCTCCTTCCCCTCGGCAGCCTTCCGCCTCCCCACAGCACGGTGCTGCTCTGGGGGCCTGGGCGCTCAGACAGCTGGTAGGGAACTGCCGCATGCTGACCAGGCCACTCGTCCTTTCCCAGCCCTGGCCTCCAGGGGCGGGGGTGACCCCAGACCCTCAGCTCTGCTGCGTGGGCAGGGGCAGCGAGTGAGGCCCAGCTGTCCTGGGCCCTCCCCTCTCCCTTGCGCTGGCCCATGGGGCACACTGAGCCCTCCGCACGACCACGGGCCAGGGGGCCTCTGCAAACGGACAGCGGGAGGCAGTGGCCCCAGGACGAGAGGACTCGAACAGACAGGAACGAGAGTGTGAGGCGCTTTCCGGGTCTGGGGGCAGACGGAGTGCAGCTCAGCACCCACGGACATGGGCAGAGGCACCCACGTCACGGACACGTCCACACCGCAGACACCCTCATCACGGAACACGCACCCCCGGGGCTCTTACGTGTCTCTTGAAGGACTTCCGGACGTGTCCCTGGGCGGTTCTCCGGACCATGGCATACTGACGCACGCAGTAGGTGTTTTCTTGAGGCCTGATCACGTTGGCAATCACCTCTACCAGCCTGTCCTGGGGGAGGGCATCATACGCCCCGGTCACATCCACCTACGTGGGAATGGATGTGCTGTTTACGGGCTGCCCCCAGGGTCCCCGGTACTGCCGGTCCTGACCTGCTGCTACCGAACTCAGGGGAACCAGACGCGGGAGGACCTGAGACACCCTGCACCCCCACTGTCCCCCTGTCCCCGCCGCACACACCTGACCCACGGCCCCCAGGCTCAGCACCCCGGGGCAGGCCTGCATCCCTCCCTACACCCGGAGACGTGATGTGGCTTCCCCAAGCGATGCCCCATTCGGGCAAACTCGAATTTTTGGGGCTGAAGGCCAGCACTCCCGCCCCCTGCCCCAGCCAGGCCCACGGTGCACGGCCAGCTGGTGGGGGGGCTGCTCCCGTAGGCCAGACGTGGCCAGCTGGCTCTCTTGGGTGTGGGGTGGGGACCGGAACCGGGCACCCACCTTGACGAAGTACAGCTGGGGTGCCGGGTCCCGGGCCCGCATGCGCAGCACGAAGGCGCGCCAGGCCCTGTGGATGTCATCCATGCCCAGCACAGAGGCCCCCAGGAGGCTGGGGCGCCGGGCCCGCTCATAGTTCAGCACGCTGAACAGCGTCTTCACTTGTGAGGTGAGGTGCTGGACCTGTAAAGCTGGCCCACGACCGGGGCCGCACCCTCAGACGACGCCCATCAAATGGGGGCCTGCGGCAGACCTCCCACCCTACCTCCCGGGCCCCCGGGAACAGCTCCCTGCCTCTGCACCTCCCCTCGCCCACCCAGCATCCCCCAGACTCCGGAAGGGCCCGACGGCCGATCCTCCCGCACCCCCAGGCCCCAGGTCTCCCCAGGGGTCCGGTACAGGATGTACAGAAACTGCAGCTAGCCCCAGGTGTCTGCGTTCTCCAGCTACCGAGCCCCCACCACAGACGGGGCAGGACACGCAGGAGGAACTCCTCTTCACTTGCAGACCCCACCAGGCCCCCAGCCAACATCAACAGCCCTGCTTTCTTATTTGGGGGCATCACAACAGCAAAATCACCCCCAAACACGCTATGGAGCCACTAGAAAGGGGTCAGAGCTCTGGTGACAGAGATGCCGTGGGAGGGGACATGTTGGGAGGTGCTAACCACGGGGGTGAGATCCTGCGGGGGGGGTGCTAACCATGGGGGCGAGATCCTGCAGGGGGCAGTGCTAACCACGGGGGTGAGATCCTACGGGGGGGTGGGTGCTAATCACAGGGGTGAGATCCTGCGGGGGGTTACTAACCACAGGGGTG